CTATGTATGTTACCGCATAACTTTGCACCACATCAACCGATTTCAATAATTCTTTTTGCAACGGAAAGGTAGTGTCTCGGAGGTGGTCCCATACTAATTTGGTTTAGATCCGATCATTGGATCATGAAATATATAGATATATATATATTTTTTTTTAAGTCGGTTTTTTTTTGCTACAAATTACTTGTCATTAAATTAGATTATTACCACAATATATATCTCAGTAACCGATTTATCAATTTTTTACCAAACTCGGTGCACTTAATAAACTTGGTATGGAAAAGCAATACGTTGGAAATACGAGAATGGTGATAAAACAAACGGCAATAACGCACATTTTGCTTTTTTCAATTTTAAATGGGAAATAATACCAAAATCTGAGTTTTGCTTTATTTCCAAATAAAACAAATTTTGCCTTATTTCCCATTGCTTATTTATACTATATGTAACAAAAACAGTTTACTGATCAGAAGGAAAAAGAACTTTGTTTATTCCAAAAATACAATTAAACAAAAAATGTGATATAATTCATATGAAGAAAGTAATATTCACAAAATATTTTTACTTATGAAAAGTCTAACAAAATATAGGAAAAGAGTCGTCTTTAATAACTGCTCAGCAAATTGGACATAGCGGTTTCGCATGAATTTTATCTGCGTGCTTTTTTAAAGGTGTTGAAAACATTGCTGGAAAACCTTAAAATGTTTGCATGGAACCATGGCGCAATAAACAGGTGAAGTTATCAGGGCTGCCAACCTGGCTCGAACCGTGCCATTTTTGACCCTATTTTACATCAAATGGCACTTAATTTTTCAATGGCACTTTTGAAAAATGTTAATATTTCAATACATTTTTGTGAAATCCTTTGCGTGTACTTCTTTTTCTCAACTAAAATTCTCTAATTTCTAAAGGTTATTAAACTGGTTTATCTTATTTTGGCATTGCACTTTTGTTTTAGAAATGTGGTACTTATTTTATTGCTAAATGGGAAGGATTAAAAAGGATGGCACCTTTTTTGGCACTTTTATTTTTCTTTTTGGCACATTTTGGCACTTTTTTATCCTCAATATGGCACCTTATAGCTAAGGATAGTTGGCAGCCCTGGAAGTTATAAAACAGCTTTCTCGCTTTATTTTCTGTCATTCGGCTGCCTTAGGGTCAAATTTTAAAGGCAATTTTTCAAATAAGACAGGGTCAACATCTTTCTTCTCGCTCTAATTACTTCACCTGGTATAATTCCGCCATGGCATGGAACAAACAAAAGTCGCCGTTCCTGTGGTGCGATTCACTACGCGATTTTAACAACTCTTGTTATTTATAAGTCAGCTAAACGACAATTTTAACAAATTAGCTATTCAGTAAACGTTTCCCTAACAACATTCTTTAGCGCCAAATCAGCTGTTGTTGTTAACGATAACAAAGGCCGCTAATTTGACGACGTCTAGATTGGTGTTGTTAATAAAACAAAAAAGGTACGTTCTACAATTTTTTCGTATGAAAAAAATGCACAGCACAGCTAGCAAAAACAAATATCAAAAATCAAAGGATTTTTCAGCAACATCAAACTTGCACTTAATTGTACTAAAATTTAATGGGCTACAAAATCGCATAAATAATTTTTTTATAATTTTCCAATAGGGCGTAAAATTAATATAGAAATCTGGAAGTTAAAACGTGATAATTATATTTTTTAATCTTACAGAAACTGAATATGCCTTGAATTTAAAGGAATT